GGGTTTAGGATCCTTAGTATATTCTTCTCTATTATATTGGGGGTTTATGGTTTAGGGTTTAGGGTTTAGGATCCTTAGCATATTCTATATTATGTTGGGGCTTATTTCCTTTACCCCACCTTCCTTCATCCCACCTTCTGAGCACTTTGATTGCGTGGGTCCCGGAAAGACGCAAAAATGGCATGTCTATGGAATTCCGCGTCAGCTTAAGGGTGGGGGAGGGTAACAGGCTCCCCCCACTAGGATGTTTGGGGTTTAGGGTTTAGGGTGGGTCATGTAAGGCATATGGAACAAGTACCGTTTTTGCAGGGATATCTCTGACAGCAGGAACAGGTACCTGAGAATCCTTCTGATCCCTAGACCCTAAGCCCTAAAGCCTGAGTTGCCTGAGAATCCTTCTGGTTCTTGACTTGCACGCCAGTCTACATGATCTTTCCTCAGAGGAGGCTGTGTGCGGTTTGCCTTTTTTACATGACCTTTCGTGGAGTCCTTTACAGGCGTGTCAAGAGAGGTAGCCCTCAACCCTAAACCCAAGGTCTATGCAGCATCCACCACTTGAAGGCAAGCCATCTGAATGCAAAACACGTCTTAGCTTTGGAATCCCCTATTATGTTCCTTTAAGGAATTTAGACTATAACTCATATGAACCCTAAACTCCAAACCCTACATGGATAGATAACACCTACTGTGGCCCTTGCTGCTTCAGGCCCTAAAGTTAAGGGTTTAGGGTTACAGAGTCTACAAGTTACACTTCCGTTGGGCCCCAAAGTCTGCAAATGGTGACCAGGCTGTTTAAAGACTGCACCTACTCTGGGCTTTTTGGATCTCTGGGGTAAAGCCCCAAAGTCAAATGTAAACTTAAAGCCCAAAGCTGTGGCGTAAGCCCGGAACCCTAAGCTCCAGACCCTGAACCCAAAACCCTGAGGCCTAAGCCCTCAACCCTGAACCCTGAGCCCTGAACCTAAACCCTAAATACTAAACCCTAAGCCCACAGGACAACAGGATTGAGGAGTCAGAGCCCAAGAAGCTTTTCACCTCCATGCCGGCCATCTTCGTGACAGCCACCACGGCGAGAGACCTCAAGGTCGGTTGAAGACGTTTTGAAGTTTGCTGAATGGGTTGTTTAGAGCCCTAAGGGTCCAAGGACCCAAATAATTGGCTTTAGGGCCCAAATACTAGAGTATTCATGGTATTTGGGCTCCTTGGACCCTTAGGGAATGGGTTGTTTAGGGGTTTGTGGTTTTAGCCCTCGAGCCTAAACCTAAATCGCTTGTTAGGGGGTTCACAGTTCAAGGCTTCAGTTTGTAGGGCCTCGGAGTTTGGGGGGTGTTCGCGTTTTTGTGTTGGTTTTCTGGGAATGCATGCACTCCCTGGAACAAGCAAGGAGCTCAAAAAAGAGCCCCACAGGGTTGTTTATGGTCTAGAAAGGGGAGATGAGGGTGACAGTTTGAGGCTATACTCTGCAAAAATGAGGCAGTGTTTGGGTTAGCCTCCCCCAAACTTATATGGAATCCAGCGCATAGGCCATTTTTCTCAACGGACCCATTACCCTAATCCCAACGTTACCCAGTAATTCTGAGTTCGGGGGAGGGCATTCTTGCGGATGTCGCCTTTGGTTACCAACTACTATGGAGGCCTGAATAATTATCAATATCATGGTCCTAGGTTCCAGGTAAAATCATGGTATGGGTACCTCAAACAGACCACGGAATGATGTTGGTAATTAAGGGGGGGTGCTCCCGAGGTACACATTTAGACATGTGTTGCATAATCGTTTTCATGTGACCTAGACGGCATAGGGAACCCTAAATCTCGCAATCCCCGGTATAAATTGTTTATGTTAAAGGGCCACGGAGTCCTAAAGGTCGAAAAACTTCACACAGCATGCTCCAGATGGATACTATAAAACTTAGATGCTTGTGAAGTTTCTCTCAACAAGTTCTGACTATTACATTTCTTGGGGGGTGTGCAGGACTTTGTAAGTTAGGTCTTAATCGGAATAGCTGGTATTATTATATGGGGCCTAGAGGGCTCATTCATATACTCACGTAGTCCCCCTGACTCTCCAAGTAGGGCTTCAACAGGCAAATGAATGCTGTTTCTGGAGGGCTTAACTTTCGCGAACTTAGGCGCGCCCAAGCCCTAAAACACCGTCTAGGTCCTGAGCTATGCGGTGATATCCACACACTCCCGGTGGAAGAATTCTGGAGTAGGATCTTCGGGGATGTATATTTCCCTTCAAGTAGATGGAATATGGCTGTGGGTATATTATAACAAGATCCCCCGTATACCCCATATTCTAGCTATTTACGGTGGACTATACCTTCTTAAGGATTTCCTGGTTTTGCCTTGGAGTCATACTCCAGGCCTCTTGGCTTAAGATGTTAAGGGTTTAGAGGTTCGGGGTTTAGGCTACTGCTTCCAGATCTTTTCCCACAATCTTTAGCTGTGTTGTATGGACAAGATTTGGCTTCAGGCGAAGCAGTGGTAGTACCTGTTTTAGGGGTTCTACGGACCCATAATAGGATTCAGAGATTTAGGGTTTAGGGTTCAGGGAATTACCCCAATAAGTAGAATCAAACGGAAGAGAACATAGACAACCAAATGGAAACTAGGTTTATACAGGGCTGTATTTGGATTATGTAATGTAGGAAAGTCTGAGTACTGACAGACATCATTTTGATGTTTTTGGGGTACCCTTTCGCCGCCCTATGCCGCATCTATAATTTGCCGTCCTATGCACAATTATACAAGCAATCTAGGCCCTTTATATTGGCAATTATGCAGGCTTTTACCGTACTGTCACACCAGTCACACCATGACGACTTTCCGCGTGGTTCGGGGGGTTTAGAGTTTTTATGCTCTGCGACCATAACAACCTTCTGTGCACTGAAGTCAGAATCCTTTCTGCCCTGGAAGCCCAAAACCGGGTTTAGGGTTTAGGGATTAGGGTCGGGTTAAACTCAAAGGGCTCAAAGGGGGGATGAAGGAAGGTGGGTTATAGGAAATACGCCCGAATATAGTAGAGTATATATGCTTGGTCCTTTAACCCGCCTACCGTCATCTCACCTTTTGAGCCCCACAATATACCCTAAACCCTAAACAACCGTAATGGGAAATTTCCAACATTACAGCTGCAAGAGCCCAAATTCGTAGTTCCAAAGAGGCTACTATAGCCCCGCGTATATAGCAAGGTCATATCTTCCTCTGTAGAACTGCATAACTACCTTACGTGGCTCCGCTGCTTCAATGCTGCTCGTTGCAGGGGATGGGATTGAACTACGGCCCGCACGGCCCGTACAACACAGCCGTCTACAAGTATCCGAAGCGAAACTTGAACCGCACATAGCGGATAGAGCAACGCAGAAAGCGGTACGGACGCGAGCGGGGTATCTATGTCCATTGTGTGTTCGCTCATGGGTGTGATGCGAGGGGTATAGTCGGTGCGTGCCTCATTTTGAGCTTCAGGCTCCGGAGGGGTCTTTCTCAAAGTTTGGGTCCGTTGTCGGGTTGGTTTTGTAGAAGAGTTCTGAAGCTCAATGAAGTCAAGCATTTAGACGTCTTTGATTTCGAGGGTCACGAGGTTGTGGGTGTATCATGGTTTTTGTAGGTGAAATGCACTAGGGGTCCATGGGATTTGCGGTGCTGCAAGGTATCTGCCAACAGCAGCATCTCTAGGCACGAATATAGGGGCCTAAATAATTACCAATGATATGGTTCCATATTCCTTACATAATTATGGTCTATGGTACCTCAAATGGACCTCAAAATGATATTGGTAATTATTCAGGCCCCTGTAGCAGATGCAAAACAAGCGCAGTTCCGGGCTATCAACAGCGATCTCCCCACAACATTGGCCCCAGACGAAGGGAAAAGCACGGAGCATGGGCAACCGTGTCATTCAGGCCTGCCAGTTTCACCTCTGACGTATGCGGCTTCTGGGCAAGAGCTCTCTTCAGGTGGATTCAATCCGCACATCCTAGGCATTCACTGCCTTTACAAAGAACTGCTAAAACTGCTGCCTGGAGTGCAGATATGTAACCCCAATATAACCCTAATATTACCCCCAGTGGGTCCCTCAACCCTAAACCCTAAACCCCAATATAACCCTAATATCATCCCAATGGCCAATCACAGTTCCGCAGTGCAAGTGGCACGTCCTCAGCTGCAAGTCCTTCGTGTCCCTCAGACCTTGGTCTTGCTTTGTAGCGGTAGGTAATGTAGGGCTTAGGGTTTAGGGTTATATTGGAATGATGGAAAAGAACATGGAAACTACTATAATATGTTGGGGTTATATTGGGATAATGGAAAAGACGATGGAAACTACTCTTTGTAGAGGTAGGTAATGTAGGGTTGAATGGGGGAAAGGCGACGCCAATAATGGAAAATCAAAGAGCAGAGCAAGATGGATTGTGGTTGCCAAGCCAATTCAGAAAGATTTGGAGATGAGTAGCACTGTTGCTAAGCCTGAAACGAGGAAGTGCTTCCAAGCGTTGGATGAATCCGAAGCAATGCCAAGGAAATGACAGATACCTGATCTTCCGCATGATGCTCCGAACGGAGCTGCATCCTTATCACTGGCACCTCGGACTTAGAGTTTAGGGCCGATATCAGGGTTGTATTCGGGTTATATTGGGACAATGGAACATAAAATGGAAACTACTATGTGAGCTGTAGTCTAAACTCCTTAAAGGGGGTTAACTAGGGGATTGTCTTGGGGAGTACAATTGGAGTGACTAAGGGGGATACTAGGAGTTTAGACAGTAGCTCATGTAGGATTTTTGGGTTTAGGGCCTCGAGCAGTGAGCCCATAGGTCCGAACTGTCTGACAGTCCTTGGGAAGGCTCTACCTGGACCCCTAAAGTATGTAGAATTATGGCCTTTTGGGCTGTTTTTTGGTGTTTAGGGTTATTATTTTACATACTCTTGGGGTTTAGGTACTTCATTGGTAGGGTTTAGGGTTGGTGGAGGAGGGAATTTGCGATGTTTTGCAGTTATGGGATTGTCATGAAGCAAAAGCTACATTCGGCTTTCCCTAGTTGAATCAGCCAGGCATAACGGTGATGGTGTGCCTGTTAGACTCTTAGACGCTCCAAGACGGAAAGAATCGAGATTCGAGCAACAACAGCTTTCTGTAGCTTTTTTCTTGACTTCTCAGTGCGTAAAGGCTAGTGGGTGCAGATTCTCATTTAGGATAACACAAGCACGAGCTGTGAATTTCTGAAGATCCGATGCTGATCATGAGGTCTTTCCAGTACTTTACTGGTTGTCAGTAGAGAAGGACACGTCGAATCCTCAACCTCGAGGGTCTGAAAATCCGACAGCTATCAGCATCATGAGTCCCTTGATCACGAGACATACTTGGAGGGTCAGGTGGACTTGGTAAGTCGTTGAATAATGGAGATAACTGGTGGCATTATATGGTAGTTTCCCAAAAATAGGGGGGCCCCAATATGGACCCCAATAATCCCCAATATACCATAATCCTTAGTATAGGGACCCCTAAAAAGGTAGCCCCTAATTTTGGGAAACCCCC